AGGTTTCCTAAAAGAATCGACATTTTAAAACCGTAGCTGTTCAAGGATTTCAATACATGGTTTTTATGTCTCCTCATTAACCCAAGTGAAAGTATAAATAAAGGACAAACACAAATGTGGTGTTCGAAATTTGGCCGGTAGTGGCTGCTTTTATTGAAAGGTCTCTCTAGTAAAAGAAGAGTATAAAGTTATCATATTGCATTAGATAATGTTTAGTAAATTAAAATAACGTAATGTTATACCATAAATAATAAATATCCAAACAAATGGTGCACACATTTTCATTTGTGGGGTTGGAATGATACATGGTACCTTGAAATATGTTTTCCACTTCCTCCTCTGTTGGCTTTGGCTTATTCCTTAGTAACGTGTACATTGACATCACCATTCCTGGAGTGCAGAAACCACACTGTGTGCCGTGGGACTTGGCTATTATCTCCTAAGATGGCATAAGATATCGTCATCAAAGATATAACATAGATTCCTAACAAAACATACGGCTTAACGCCATACTGTGCTTCAAGTAAGGCAATTATTAAAGATCTCAGTGACCGCTATAATTTCGAGATTTATTATTTGCTTATCACATGTAACTGTTAACAGTTGCCATATAATTAAAAGGATAATTACCCTTCGTATAAGATTTATATTTCACAATAATAATATTGTGAATAACTCACAGAAACATAATATATTCTGTTTTACCACAAAAACGGCAGTTATAGCAATTATTCTGATATCTGAGCTGGTTTTCAGACCACGTGACCTCCATTTACAGCTATACTCTGTTATAATCTCTTAAGAGATTTTAACAAATAAACAAAATTTTTAGAAATAAATCAGGGACTAACTTTGAATGTAAAAATGGATTCATTAACCACTGGTAAGTATGGGAAAATTGTTGTTTACTCCAGGAAAATTCATTTTTTGGCCAAAACAAAGTGTTATTATCCCCTTAAATAAGCATAATATACAACTTCAATTTGCATGAACATACCGGTACGGTTGTTTTTGAATGAAAGATGTATCAGGGATGACTTTTTTATTGTTATTCATAGTACGTCTTCTCTCTTTTCACCCCATACCTGAACTGGATGTAGCCTCGTTTTCGTACTACCAATACCCTCCACTGTAGTGACAGCGAGGCCATGGAGAGAGCATATTGGAACAAGACAAGCATTGGAAGCATAATGACAAGTCAACAGTTAGGGAAAAAATCGGTATAAAATCAATATATCCTAAAGGTTTTATAGGAAAGACCCATGAAAATAGCAGTAAAGTGTAAGGATACAATATTTCGTCCTGTTCCTGATCATACTTTGATATCATCACTGTGCATGCACCGCACCCTCCTTCTCCACAGCCAAGTTTGGTGCCAGGGAGACGCACTGATATTTGAAGTAAAGGATAAATAAACATTTGTACCAAGGAAAAGAGAGATACGAGAAAAGGGCACATTCACTGAGACACCATCGGTCCACGTAGACCGATCCAACTCCGTGGGGTTTCTCGCTGAGTGCTGTCAGCTTAACTGAATGAGATCGTCATGGTTTAGCAGGCGACGAAGTGCAAAGAGTACAACTTTATGCACTGATGGTTTCGTATGTTGCACGACCAAAAGGATACGTATTTCACGCAGATACTGCAGCAACGTCGTTTCCGGGTCGGCATTCTTTTCTATGATCTAAAAAATTATGACGTCAGACGTTCATGTTATTGAAAGATTTTTTTCACACTGAATTTTGCAAAAAGATGTTCTTTATTTAATGAAATATGTCCTCTATACACATGTACAATTACTACTGGGCCAAAGTCAAATATTTGAGGATTTTATGATACCTGTAATTAGAAAACAGTGGGTATTTTGTATGAAATGTTTATATTTCTCGTTGTTAAGATTAACCATAAGCACCTCGGAGGGTTTAGCGTTTCAGCTTTCAATTTTGATGTGAGATAGCAAACGGGACGGGGCGTAACTGTATACCTGGACAAGAGCTTATCACGAAAATTGGGATAGACGAGCATAAGTGCATGGGCTTCAATCCCGTGCCATCATTTTGGCTTTAGTTTAACGTTTTTGTCATGGACTTATGAGCTCCTACTTACAATACTCCATTGAACAAAGACACAATTTTGCCTCAATAACGATAAATTCTGAGGTTTTTAAGAAAAACTGCTTGCAGGGTTCTGAAGTAGTCAATTGTGTCATTAAATTGGCGCTGAAACAGTGTTCGTGGGCGCTCAGGTAAAGGAGAAATTTGAGAAACCGATTTTACTTTTTTTTTTACCCCAAAAATCACAATTGTGACGTTATCGGAAAATTGACATTCACGTCAAAACAAAAGAATTTAGTCAGCGAACACTAAAGAATTATCTACTATAGACGTAATTATATGATGAATAGTTTATCTGTTATCAAGTCAGGTAGCTCTCGTATTTAGGAGTGTAAACATTTAATTATATAAACGTTACTTATTTAAATTAGATAGCAGTTATGCTGCTTCTTTAACCAGTGTTACTGGTGCGTATATAACATAAATACCTATATTACGTTGCACCCTTATGCAAAAAAAAAACGTTCTGTAGAAATTCCCATTCTGTGCAGTAGTCATTGCTGAAAATATGAACTTTTAAAATAAAATTGAGTTAAACATTGTCAAGTATGCATTCTGTTTTTTTGTCCACTGGATACAGTTATCATCAGTTAATGAAACAATCCTAACATAAGCTAAAGTTGAGTAATACATTAAAACAAGTACGTGAACGTGTATTTCACTTGAAATACCTTCATCCCATTAACGAAGAATACTAGCTCATCAGTGTCCATGCTCCACGTTGACAGTAACTTCGCTGCTGCCGTATGTTCGGGTAGATGTTTGTTCAAGAAGTGGGACGTGATCAGTAACTAGGTTATGGAAGGTCTACGTGCGGGTTGACACACTGCAAACAATGTTGCCCAACCGAAATACATTTCGCTGACACTTGAGGTTTAATACTGCAGAAATAGAGAGAATTTTTTATTCTGTTGAATAATTACATGAACATTTTTGTGGCGAAGGGGTCACTGGGATACTCGACACTGGGAGAGTAAAGATAATTATGCGATAAGGCTGATAAATTATAATTACGTAATGAAAAGTAACTGAAAAGATAGATGTACTTATTAAATGTGGTGAAAGAGAAAAGAAAGAAAGTAAATTAAAAGAGAGAAAGCAAAAACAAGAGACAACGTATGTAAGAAAAAAAATAAGCGTAAGATTCGGAGTGCTTACCTGGTGATTCTTTTGCAAAATTGGAAGTAAAATTCTCCGACGTATTTTGAGGTCTGATCTTACCAGCAGCAAGAGTGAGACTGGTCCTTAGTCACGTGTTATCGAGACTTGTTACTGTTTGGTTCTGCGTCTTTATTGTAGGTCAGAGGTCATGTACTGATAATGCTGCATTCGCGTATACGGAATACCCTGATGACTCCCGAAAGTAAATCTTTGCGGTAACCTTGTTTTTTTAATACTACAGAAATAGAGAGACATTTTGCTCTGTTAAATAATTACATGGAAACTTTTTGTGGCGAAGGTGTTACCGGGATATTAGAATTCGGCACAGGGAAAGTAAAGATAATTATGCAATAAGGCTAATAGATTATAATCACGAAATGAAAATTAACTGAAAAAAGATGTAATTAGTAAAGTTAGGGGTGCAAATGCGCCACGACAACCAGGGTTTCCACTGTAAACCCGGGTTTTATTCCAGGTCTTATAAATCGCGCTCCACTACATGTTCATTGTACGTATACGTCTCAGTGCAATATACGATTTATGTGGATTTTGGGGATAAAACCTCAGTACATGTAGGTCTGGAACGTTGTCACAATGATTTTATTATGCATGCGTTGGATAAAGTTGGGGTGGTCAGTTTTCATCAGCAACAGACAACTATTAAGAGTGTCTGGGCTTTATCAATTTAATTCATACCTTTAGCATCGAGGCTGGGATGTTTATTTGAACTTATTCTTGTTTGGGGAAAGTTAGAACTGGAGGATATATTACTCCGAATATTTCGGGGTACCATCTGGAAAATACGACCGCTGTTTTGGGCGTGATGGCCGAATAGAATAAAAAGGGGAGCAGGTTGCATTGATATCGCAACACAACTACGTTTCTGAACATAAGAGGTTTCCTGTGACTGTTTGTACGTGTACGCTTTTTATAGAGTGATCGTGATAATGAAAACAAATTGCTGACGAAAACCGTAGCTTCTGGTTTCTCTGCGCGAGTTTTTAGGAACTCTAAAAGGTAGAGAATGTTGTTATGGTGATTTTATTAGGAAATTTTTAGTGACACCTTTATATAATGATCAAATGCAATGTAGTAAGGCAAACAACCATAGAATCAATAAAAACACTTGAACACGCGCTAGTTGGTGGTGGTATACGTGTAATGGTAACAAAAATAATATAATTACAAGATAACAATAATATATTAATAAGAGGTGCAAATCAGATACTGTACATATCTGTCTAAAGATAAAATGGTAAAAAGATGGTGATATGAGTTCTTCAAATTAGAAAACATACAAATAAGTCCCATAATAATAACTTCCAAATGCGGTCAGGTATTTTAGGATGGTCATCTTAAGGTGTGAATGTCAATATGGTGCCCGTGTATTCTTAGACAAAATCAAAATTACTTTCCTACAATTTTCAATAGAATTACTATCGCAACGGTAACCAAATAAACACATGCCTCAGTACTCTAAACTGCACTATCATACATGTGCTCTGACCGATTATATTTAAAGAGTCTTGAGTACATCCATGGCAGTCATTATATTCTAATTACATTTGTCCAATAAGAAAACCCTTTACCATTAATTTGCTAGTTAAAGAGTCCACACCTGTTTCCTGATATATATAACTTGTAGACAAATCTTGGCTGAATCCTGGTTATAACATAACCTAACTAACGTTGGTATCAAGCTTTCCTGTCACATGTCCTACTTGTTCACACATCTATAAACCTTGGCCTCGTATGATGGGTGCTTGGTGAACACTATAACAAAGCAAAAGGAGTGTTTTAAGTCAGTATGTACCAGTGCCAGTAAGTTAAAATGAAATATTCTGGTTCTGAATACAGATAAAGGAAATCGAAGGCAGCAGGGTAGTTTAAAAAACACATATAATTTTCCATTGTGTATGCAACTTTTTATTTTCTTTCCACTACTTAGACCACTTTAAATACTAACTGCCTTGGAACGTTTCAGATAACCTTAGAGACAGCAGGTAATACTATGTAGCAGCCTTATTTTACATAGTGAAAGTGAGACCGACTGAAGTCTAGGAGAGGGAGACGCCGCCAACTAGAATAAGTCTATTAACAGATTACAAAAATAGCGACTGAAGAATTACTGATGTCTTGACCTCCACATATAAATCAGTTATTAAAATGTAGCATTTATCAAGGCGAGTGCATTGCCTTAGAACAATGGTTTTCGAGGTCTACATAAGCAGCATTTCTCAATGTACGTTTACCTGGCATGTAAACTGGTCCTCACATGCCATCCTGATCCTCTCAGCTGTGGCTGGACTGTCCAATCGGAACCTCCCTTTCAAACCGGACTCGGCTCTAGCAGACGATATGGCGTCTTTTATGGCAAAGAACACTGAAGACGCCAGGAAAAAAGGAGGTTCTCCTATACCCTGTCAACAACAAGAGCCGGACGGTTTAAGTCTCCTCAAAGATATTTTATCTAACATGTAAATGATATCAAATTTATATTAATATCTGGATGGCGTGATAATGTTAAGAAAACAAATTTGCTCTCTTTACTGCGGAAGTCATAATGAACTTAATAATGAATAATAACGTAATATTGTTTTTTCTCTACACGACCAACACATTGCGAAATCAAATAATAAATATATTTCCTCGTTAGCTACATTATAAGACAACTACATTAAAGTTGCTTTATTTTCTCAAAGTGATATTAATCCTTTGACTCTTTAGTACATATATAGACACCAAAACGTAAAAGTTTTTTTGGTTGCGGTTTAAGAATAAAATATTAGGGATTATATCATTTGCAGAATTATATTACAAAGGCAACTTAATTTAATATCCAAAATATTTTATTGTTGGGTAACTCTTAATGATCCAGTGTATCCTTACTTTGGAAGAATATACTGCTTTGGGATTGGAAGCACCTTTCAGTAAAGAAACATTGAATTCTACAGGGATGTTTCCATAACCAGGGATCTTGTATGTGTTCGGACCATTAGTTATCAGTCTTCCCTCAGAAGAGTATCTCAGTTGCTCAATGGTGAATAGCCCATAGCCCTAAAAGCAAATGCATCCTCTCATAAAAATGAAATGATAGGCCTATACTGGTTGGGAGTTTTACAAGCATCCATAAACCAACATTTTGTTTAAATGTATTCATAGACTTTGTTCTACCATCTTAGTGCGGCTTAATGAGGTATCGAGGGAGTGAATTCTACAATAATTCTAAACGCTATTGCTTTTTAAAAAACTGATGGTTTGCTATTAAGTTATCCTTATGTGAAAAACAGAGCACTCTCCAAAATATTTGCCCAATGAATAAAAAACAATTCCAAAACTCATAGGAGCCAATCCAATTGTTTTGAGGAATTATATTAACTTCTTTTATTATTATTTTTAAATTATTATTATTATTATTATTATTATTATTATTATTATAACACCTGCGCAAAGGCTCCCTCTATCTGTCCAATATCAATGGCTGGATTCAAACTTCTTCCAACATCCATAACGATATCTGTTCGCAACACCTTAGATGTTATGAAGAGATATTTGTAGAACATTAGTATATATATTTACTCTTCTTTGACTTTAGGCTGGACGCCTACGCAATTGTATAACAATGGGTAAATAAATACTACAGACTGAATAATAAACAATAATGAAAATGAACATTTCATACTTTTAGAATTATGGCCAAAGTAAGTTTAATGGCGATCATTAGCTGTAACAGAAAAGAGAGTCTCTTTTATTAATATGTATTTTTAACGGAAGTCAGGAAGAAATCTACCTATTTTTTATTAAAAATAATAAACACATAAACGACATTGTCATTAAAACAGTGAGTATAAATTATAACACATTACCACATGGTCTCCGGTAAGGCAATCTATTTCAACCACGGAGCAAGCAGCGCCGTATGTGAAGTACCTCTGCGTGGTTTGCTCTCCTTCTACAGGTACATAGCTATCGTCCCAGGTATCTGGAACCCTGAATATAACAAGGAAACATCGCAATTTCACTAGTGGAAGCCAAACTTTCAGAAGACAGAAAGCTTCAATGGTGAAGAACAAATGTCAACCGCCAGGTTTGGATTGCAATTGCGGCCTGATAAAAAATCAAAATTTCATTTCATTTTGTACTGGTTTTGTTTACATAGTGTTTCTTAAAATATATTTACTTACTATTCAATTTTCGTTATTCAATTTTCGTTAGGGAGAGAAAGGGTCCCCCTTATTCCGAAGGTTTTAACAAACGGTTTATATTAGGGAAACACTAAATTAGGGATTGATGCAATAACATAACGTAAGCATTTTTAACATAGACTTGCATTTAATTTAGCAAATGGGTCCATTTGTGTTTTTAAACACTACCGATTTGGGTCTATTTGTGTTTTCTTTTAAACTTTACCAATTTGGTTCCATTTGTGTTTTTAAACATTACCAATTTCGGCCCATTTGTGTTTTTAAACGTTTCCGATATGGGTCCATTTGTGTTTCTAAACATTACCGATACACACACATTTAAAGACGTGACTTACTTGTAGTAACCTGTTGCAGACAGGCTGATTCTGTCCATATAGGCAGCTTTCACCTGCAATTACGACAGATAACATTCATTTTTATATATTGAGACCTTTTTTATATAAAATATAGTTTTTTTAGTGTGTTGATTATAAACCGAGCGTCCTTTCACAGGATTATTTCTACCGTAACAAAGAGATAACGAATTGACAAAAATGTGCTCAAAGTTTGAATGTGCTCTGTACTTGTACTGATAAAATTCATGTTTCATAAGTTTTCATTTCCGTTAATATACTAATTATAATCATTCCCAAGCATATATCACTTACCCAATCTTCCCATGATCCACCGGGATTACCGGCTATATACGGCTCAAGTCGGTGTCTTAACGTCTTACATGCATTCTGTAATAGATGCGATATGTATACAGTTAAGTGTGTGTACTAGTTCTCACTGTTTTTAGGGAGCTTAACCATTTTCTTTTAAACAACTTAACAGGCACCCTTCGTATCAATGGTTATTTGAATGCCAATAAACAAAGCTCATGTCAGCTCAACGCAATCATTCACACAACAATGTTACTCACCAGATGACTTGATCATGATGATCTAACTTCATGCTTTAGAAGTTTTCCTTTCGTTACAGTAAGACAAATAATAAACATTTCGTAGTAGATGCCACAAACCCAAACAGAACTTTAGGGGGGGAAACATTTCATTAATCTTAAAGCTTAAAAGGGTATAAGCCTTAGTGTTCTAAAATCACAGGTGGTACAAAGACCGTGCTTACATGCCTTGTAGGCCTTCAAGAACTGTCCGCAAGCACTTTCCTCAGCCTATAGATGTACACGGCCCTATGTTATCAACTCACCAATACAGCCATGCCGTTGAGATCTGATCCTGTGCTGGCAGCTGTGGCAGTGGTGTTCGGAACGGTACTAGTGGTGGTTTCATTGATGTGGAACTTGTGGACTGGCAACTGTAACGCTCGACTGGCAACCTTGAACGATAATACCACGTTATGTGTCGATAATAATGCAGGGGCACAGTAAATTAGATCTCGGCTCAATTCAACCGGTCGAGGGACAACGCGTGGGGGGGGGGGGCGTGTGAGAGGCGGCGAGACCATTACAGAATTAGCGGTCTTCCTTTCATGTAGGTCCCCCCTAGTTAGGTCGCAACCTTACTAAACCTCGGCTCTTCTCGGTGTGAATCCTCCCTAAATTGCATAAATACCCAGTACACTGACTTACAGCCGAAGAACCTTTCCTGTTTATTTAGAAAAGCAAACCCAAAGCATGCAATCACGGCACCTGTATGGCTATACTGCCGCGTAGTCTGCAACTTTTATACTGTCATACCTGTATCATCTTAGTGTGTAATCCTTGTCCCATCTCTACACCACCGTGTGTTATCAGAACTGAACCGTCCTCTTGGTACACATGAACAAGTGCTGCCCCCTAGTAATCAGACAAAACGAGATAAGTTGTAAGACAATGTCTACCGGTATACCAGTCACGTTTGAAGTATAATATATAATTATATACAAGATAACAGAAAAGGGAATTTTATTTGAATATGCTATTTATAAAGTATTGAATTTATCATTAGTTGTAAACACAAAATAAACCAACAAAAAAAAATAAAAATACGTGAAAAGGACTGACTAATGTTACAGAATGCACATGTAAAAATAAAGTCAATTAAGCACAGTATGGTACCCTTTTCTTTGAGGAACAATTACCAGTACAATGATATAAGGGGACATTTTATAGATTCTTGTACCTGTTCTAGAAAACGCTCATTATAGTAAGAAATCAGAAACTTGGTTGGAATCAAACTAACTCCACGCTTCTTCCATCGGTTGTCTCTGAAAGCAGAGTTAACCTTGAAAATTTTACTTTGCTGTGTTATTGATTTTACCAATCCCTCTGTAATATTGAACAGCCTTGGGAGAAAAATACAGACAGATGCTTTTTAAATACCATTTGAATTCCGACTAGATAAGACGAAAGATCTCTTTTAATTTAGTGCAATAAAGTTAAGCAGTTCCAATATAATGTAATAAATGTATCTCAATAGTTTTCAGCCTGTTTCAGCGACCAGTGGAATATGCTGACTGTATAGAGGTAGGCCCTATACCCATATCTACAAATTTCAAGCCAGTTGTAATACAAATACGTATACATTTAAAATCCGCTACTGCAAAAATTTATAGTTGTGTGTCAATTGACTGAGACTTCTCTTCAAATAATTCTGTAACTTATCTCATGATTGATCAAGATTATCAAATGCACCGGTAAATGTAACAAAAGATTGTGGCAACGTTTTTCAAAGGCTGCCTCTGTAAAAACGGATCGAATATTCGATAACTATTACAACTTTTTTATCTCCTCAACAAGAACTTAAACTTATGTATTTCTTATAGCGCTCTATCGAATCGCTTGATTATCACTCTACTGCTGTGCCTATTGTGGAGTAGTTTAAAGGTGATTCTGCTATTTTTGATGCCATATTACCTGTTAAATTTGGCAATGTCTTCTTTTCTCTGAAAAAATTCACTCTGCTGGATGACTTCATTCCAGCAACGGTCTATAGCACAGTTTATCAGTCGAATACCCTTTGGCGTGAGGTCATTTTCATTGTACATGTTTATTTCACGGACCTTCAACAAATGAAAACAATATTGAATGGTTTTATTGCGTACAATATTAAGGTTATAATACAATTAATATTATAGTACATTATAGTTGTACGTACGTACTGGGTTAGTCAAAACCAGAGTTTAGGGCCTGATCCAGTTACAATAAACAGTTTATGTCGTAATGTGAATAAGTGAAGCATAAATATAAAACACAAATGACCATGTTAAATCTGTGTGAAAAAAGTGGTAAAATTGGATGTGGAATAGTTATGTCTTCCTGCAAACGCTCCGCTATATACAGACCTACGATACAGATTCTTTGTTACATCTCATACCTACCTTATGTGAGGGGATATTCAGACTGACGGCGACATCTTCAATTATATTCTCCATGACCAGCATTGACTGAGGGGCACCAAACCCCCTGAATGCAGTGTTTGAGGGCAGGTTGGTCTTACACAGTACACCAGTAAGTACAATGTTTGGAATATGGTAACAGTTGTCAAAACTGTATAATGATACACTTACTACCTGTAGCATAAAAAAGTACAGAAAATAATGTGTCGAAATATATATTACATTGTATATACAAACATCGCACTTATTTTGTAGTAATTTACATGTATATAATTTCCTTTTTGAGCAGTATATTGCAAAAAATATAGAAAGCATTCAGTAGTTAGAACTCACTTCCGGTGATAAGTCGGAAGTATTTCCTGCATTCAAGTAGACTGTGGCGTCCAAGGCTTTGAAACGACCAACGCTGTCAATACCAACCTGAAACGAGCATTTTGATTCATGGACAATTAAACACAAGATAAAACCAATCCCTGGTTGTATCAGTTTCACTTATTTTGGAAATGAATCACAACAGTTGCTACACACAGACACAAGCTAAATATCGGAGTTGCTTAAATACGCCTGAAATTCATTAAAACAATTAAAAAAATCAGCAACATTGACTGGTATACAAGACAGGATATCTTCATTATTTTGACAGAGAAGTCTCTTACCTGTGCATGTAGGTCAGTGAGTAAATATTTGAAACTTAAAAGCAGCCATTCCGAGTCCAAAATGACAGTGGATTCAGCTAACAGCTGAGGTAGATTCTAACCAAATGGCAGCATACATGTACCTTGTACTTTCCAAGGAAAGGATGTCGTCCCCCTGATATCAGCATATCTTCGTCTCTATCCAACATACCACGGACCGGTCGGTTCAACCTGTGTAAAACAGCATATGCCACATGATGACATGACATAACACTGCATAGCGTCGGTTTGCATAGTGTCTTCTCTATTTCATTTTATTTGTACTAATCAATGGGAAGGGGACTCTCTGTTATGGGGGACTCTCTGTCACATTACACCGGCTTGCACATGGCCTGTAAATATAGTCCTGTCACCCATGAACCGAATTCTTAGCTTCCTGGATTTTTTTTTCATTATACATAAAAATTCGAAACATATCTTCGATCTAGCGATAGCTACAGGTATCAGAGTCACATAACGGGTTTCCTTTCCTCCGAAACCCCCACCTGTAGAGATACAAATGCCAAAAATAGCATTGCCACAAAGTGCCAAAATGAAGGAAGGTTTACACAAACATGTTACACCATGCCATTGGATACGTATGTGTATGCTATGAACAGTCATATTGGATTATTCAACTTTAAAGTTGTTGAATGAGGCTAAAGATCAATTACTCTATCAAAGACCCCATTTCCATAGATTTTAGATCGATCTATCCCTGTGGGGAGTCTCACTAGATTACTGTCAGCTTAGCCGGCTTAAGCGTCTGTCCCTCCTACTAAAAGCTGTAAAGGGGTAATTAACTATGGTGCGCGCTCGGCTGCAATCTAGCGTGAACCCCCAGGGAGTTAGGTCAATCTAAATCTTAATCCCTGGATCGATCTAAATCTCTGGGAATACACCCCAAGTGAAAAGTTATTCATTTCGGTCGTAGGATTTACAGGTCTTAAATATCTACCTAGCCTTTTTGTCCTGATACACACTCTGTTCATCGGTAAGCCAAGGGCTCTAGCAACATTAGCCTTCCATGAAATGTAAGAATAAAAATACTTTTTAAGGCAGATATAGGATTGCAAAAATCAGTTAAAAGAAAAAAAATAGAAAAAATAAATTTAGTTGTTGGCTCCTACTGCACATGTACAATAACATTAACTCCACAGTTTTCTAGATAGTATACAAAGAGTGCGCCCTATGACAACAAATCGTAACTGTAGTCCAATTGGGCTTAAATCGAAAGAGTCTAACCCCGTTAAGTACACATCACAATGAAGCATTTGGAAAGCGGGTTGCAACATTACCTGAGACTTCGACGGAGACTGCGTGCTACAAAATATCTCAATTTCTCCATCTTCTCCTCTAGGCACGGCTCTAGCCACATGCGTCTCCAGATAGAAATGTTCCTGTCCCCCTCCTTTGATCTCCCCCTCTAAGATGTGGTCGGCCTGCTCAAAGCCACGTTCTACATCGCCTGACTTGATGAGGGCTTTCGCTTCGTGTGGGTAGTAGGACTCTTCGACAATTGCTTCCTATAAATTGGCCGTCTGTTAATATTTAAACCCTTATTACAAACCGTACCTTCCCTTGGCAAAATATCAGACCTGCTGCAAATTTGCAGCAAATTTGCTGCAAACTGCAATTGATCCCTTCTTGAAAATTTGCAGTAAATTTGCAAACTCGTTGCCGCAAACTTTGAGTTTGCAACAATTTTGTTGCAATATTGCTCCGATTTTTTCATTTTGCTAAGGGTTATGTTAATTGATGAAAAACTACTTTATTAAAATTCAAAAAGTAGACATGTTTTCACTCTGTTTTTGATACCACTACAAAATCCAAAGAAACATTCTATAGCCATAAAGTTAAACTCTTATTACTTCCATGATATGTTACCTCTATTGTGAACACTGTTGGAAGGTCTTCGTACTCAATTTTTACGGCCTTCGCTGCTCTCTGCGCATGCGTCTTGGTGTCAGCCACCATGGCACCTATCACCTGGCCGTAACACGTCACCTACAATATTGATGTGCATATTTATGTGAATAGGAAGTAGATTTTAAATGGGAGGGGGACTGATAAGAAAGAAAACTAATTCCTGTGACTCTGACTAATTACATTGCAAGTGCCTGTAAAATATAGCCCCTCCTTGATTCTACATGTGCATATCAGTGCAAATAAATTTCAACTTAATACAAAGATCACAATGAAGAAATTACAATAAAACACATACATCAAATAACTAAAAATATGTACATAACAATGCTGCCTACACTCTTTCGCGTACAGCATTAGGCGTGTTCCAACCATGACAATACATGGTGACGTTTAATTACCACTCAGCAGAACACCAATCATCCAACATATGAGGGCGCCACTCACACCAAGACGAGACAACACAAAGTAAACAAGACAAACAACATAAACAAATGAAACAAAACAAAAAATAAATTTGCCGACGACACTGTCGGCAACAACCTATTAATCCAAATAAAAAAGACACATTGTTGTGAAATACGTACACTCCATTCCCAAATTAAGTAGACGTTTCAGCAATTTACCGGTTACATGTACAAGTAAACTAATACAGTACCTCCTTTGAAGCAAATATCTCCTCCCCAACTGTCAGAACTCTCTTTACATTGGAACCTGGTACATCCTCGTGGCCAAAGAATGCCTCTACTCCAGGCAAAGCAAGTGCTTCTCTAGTGTCAATGGAGAGAATCTTGGCGTGGGCTCTGGTGCTGGTTACCAATGCCAAGTGCAGCTCACCTAATCAAATGTGGAAAAGAGATGGATGGACGGACGAACGGGCAGACGGACAGACAGACCAATAGATAAATATACTAGAAGATGCATAGATACCTTGTACCGGTAAATAACAGGGGATCAAAATAAACGTGTTGTTGATCCACAGTTGACTCAAAATGATAAAAATAATCTTCAAATGCTGAAAAAAAAACACATTGGTTAAAAAACCGAAAGCTTCAAAAAGTACCGTCAATCAGTGGCATGTCGTCACAATACTGAGCCTCTCCGGTGGCGTGTTGCAAGCTCGCCCTGTGCTGCAATGGGCGTCCAACGGCGTCGTGTTTTGGCTGGTCAGGAGAGACCTCTTCAAACACTTGTGTACCTCGGCTGATGCTTCGTGTCAGACTGGGAAGTGTCAGCGTGTGCCGGGGTGGAACTGTTGCATCTTCCATCCCAGACTAAAATGTACAATGAATTTGGGTTGTAAATTTGAATTTGAATTGCTTTCGAAATCTTTTTATTTACCCAACTAACTGCGTAGAACATATTTTGCCCTTTAACTAAATTTCTTTTCAAACTAGTTTGTTTACAATTTTGTAAAGACGATTTTGTACATGTAGGTAAGAAATTGTGAATGTACCTGTTTGCGCAATTCTAATTTCACCCTGTGGAAAAACTTGAAAAAGAAACTGCAAGCCAGTGCTCTCTTGTAGGGCATCTGACCACCAATGCCCTCTGGTAGTGAATGAAAGTCTTCCGCCAGCCACTGGACTACATCTGATGTCAGTTGGTCTTCCCATTTTCTGAAAATATAACAGGTTATTCTAACACAATTTAGTCAATCGGACACAAGAAAAGGAAAATTAGCAAGAAACAAGATTATAACTAGAAAACAAGACTGACATATCTACATAGACTAAATAAAGGTCAGTGGCAAATTCAAATAGGTCCTTTCAAAAAAGATGATTAGAAGAAAAAACGCTTGTAAAGATTTCTGACGTTTTCACCTCAACGTCAAATACAGTTAACCTGAAATTTATAACAAAATTTATACAGCCTTGGTCATGATATACATTTCTATATTTGTAATGAAAAGAAAACGCGTCTAATGTACATGTTGTTACCAATTTATTTTAACATAAAAGAGTAGCATTAAATTACAAAACTACCAAACATACCCCAAAACACAAAATGTGAAATACGTTCATGGAAAACTACTACTAGTCTGTCGCATATCTAATCGTAGTTATTCATAGGTAAGTTAAGAAACCACGCCAGTATACCTCCCCACACATCTCCTAGCTGTTGTTATGGCCAACGAAGATGTTTCAGACATGCTACCAAAGGCAATTTGCATTTCTTTAATAATATTGTCTCCATCTTCAAACAGAACTCTCATCCCAGCGTTCACTATTGCTGTTGCATTTTCTCTGCGCTGTGCCTTCTTGTATCCGAACACAAATTCATTCTGGAAAAATTTTTTTAATCGTATTTTAATTTGACCTTAAAATTTCCACCTTTAAAATTCACATCACTCACAATTTACTTTAATTAAAAAACAACATTCACACTGACAAAATAAAGGTAAACACACCCTTGTTATATTATTGCAAACTGCAAACTAGGAAAAACAATCAAATTACATCTTTATACCTCGATAGGGCAAAAATATAGCTAACCTTTTTGGAAAAAGGGATGAAAACAGACAAAACAATCTCATCCGATTTAATATTCCAATTTCCGCGTCTGGTGTAAAAAGTGTTGTCCAAAAAAGCATTTCTCTGGCCACCCTCTAAAAATAAAAATTTAATTACGTACATTAAAATATGCATTGGAAAATATACAGTGTGGTCATGCACAGAAGCAAAATTCTTAAGGATGGAAGATTTATCTGTTATCCAATAGCAGCAAATAAGGAGATTTTGGCGAAGGGTAGAAACATCCTTAAAGTACTACGTAACTGGAAAAGGTAGAATTCAACAATATTTTTAAATTGTTGGCGTTCACTAAAAACATAGAACGTTTCTCTTCAAATGACAGTATTTATGTCAATAGTGGTCAATATACCTGTACATATACCATAACTGAAAATGTTGCCGAGCAAGAAGATAGTTATCGTTTTAGCATGAAACCATAAGGTTCCTGCGTCCGTTGGTATGGGGAGAGATTGCAATTCATGTACCTTGCGATATCAGGGTTATCGTGGATCCCGTAGCCATCAGGAGAGGGACGAGGTCGGAATTGTGATGTGTCCACAAAATATTCCCAGCCAAAGACTGAAATCAAATTGGTTTTCAAGTGTAACGTAGGTTTTTATATATGAAATAGGACAAGTTGTTGGCTTACATATCTTTCACTGGTAATAATTTTACTGGTAAAAAAAACTTCATCTTGTTGCCAGTGTTCTTGCAATACATAGTATTGTTTCTTTCTGCGGCTTATCTGATATAGTTTACGACAGTTTTTTCTAAATGTTATACAATATAAATCGAAAAAGAAACATTTGAGAGACGCACGGCTACATTACGAATTTGATGTCCTGCAATCCCATTAATAATTCCCCGCATGGCTACCAAGGTCTTGTATTTGTATTCTGCAAAGACATTGGTTTTGATAACAATATTTCAGACAAAATGAAGTTCAAAATAATATACCCAGGCCAGTGCTTTTACGCAGGTCATAAAACGGTATAAAAGCCTAATATATGATGTTATTTTTTATTCACAACATTAAGTCCTAAGGCAGATTCAAGTTGACCATTTCTTCGAAATAGAATTTAAAACAGTTGAATGAAAAAACAGTTGAATGAAAGGTTTCATAGATTACTGTACTAAGAGAAAAACACTGAATTTCATCATGTATTGTCTACCTGTTGTATTCTTGATGGTTTCAGTCAAAATCTCGCCTAATCTCGCAAGGGTAACTGCCCCACCAATATGGATCCCTGTGTCAGCCACTGCGACTTCATGTAATTCTGGCACGTGTGTTGCAGCAATCATAACTTGGACATGTGCTTTTCTGTATTTTGTATCCAACCCTAGGTTAAAAGAACAATATCCATAAACAATCAACTGTTTGGAATGCAAAAATGCTAACAAACGTACTCTATACCAGGGCCAAAGATTGATACATCACTAGAAATTTTTCCAGAAAAAATGTGCACACCTTTCTGTGCTGTGACTCTGTGATGAAATCTAAGCAAGTCCCCGACAAGTCCCTTTCACGGCATTCAAGATACTTTTAAGCATTTAAAAATACTCCGACCTTTTAAGTTTAAACTTCTGGCTCCACTGTGTGATAGCTAGGATTTTCATGTGCACAGTTTTGTAAAACCCTTCCAAAACACATGACTTATTTACCAGACATGAGTGGAGACAGATCATCTGTATGCCACGTGCGTTTAGCAGAGGGCACTTCGCAGAGTTACAAGGGTTTTATACCGGGTAGAAATAATTGGTTTTATTTGATAGTAAAACAAAGAGGTCCAGCGATAGCTTTTGCATAAAATTTACGTCACGCAATCTGGTAGAAAGTACAACAAATTATGCCCTTCACAAAGACACATTGTAATAGACACGACCTACGACAAAGGAGAACATTTGATAACTATGCCTTCAACACCATCTACGTTTTTCCTCTTTGCCCATATATATATATATATATATATATATATATATATATATATATATATATATATATATAAGGCCATAGGTATATCAAAACGTGTTTATCGATTCCCTTCTGGCCTACTGGAATACATTAAAATACAGCCTTCTTTAACTTAGACAACTCTCTTTGCAAAATACAAAAATGTAACAAGATATGTGATATAGGGATGGAACAGAATTTTAATCACCTACCAACAGCTGTGTTTCCAATAACAATCCTAGCACTGGGATATTTGGATTTAAGTTTCAGAAGATCCTTCAAGAACACCGGCCGTAACCAGGTAACCCTCTCACTCTTGAACGTTAGAAACTTTGTCCCGAATCCATTCGAAATCTGCAAAGATAAAAGTAAAAAGGCAAAATGGTCCAATTGTGCAAGATTTAATTTTATGTTGGGCAACGGAACGTTTTAACATTGTTTGTCAACGAGTTGAAGTTACTAAACACGACCGATGAAATGTAAATTTAATATATTTCAATAAACATTTTTGGGCTTACTTTTAATTCAGGGGGGAATATTGGTTCCTGGGTCGTATCGGCGGGCAGAAAGTCGCATGGTTCAGCGGCATCAAGAAAATGCTCTTCGTTACTTGGCTGGATTTTGCAACATTTGGATCCCATACAGCAGGGTTCGTCTTTGCTGAAAGTCTTGAACCCTTCAAGGATAGGTCTGTAGCCAGTGCATCTGCAAAGGTTTCCTAAAAGGATCGACACTTTAAAACCGAAGGTTAATGTTCAATTACATATCCATGGCGAAAGCGAAGGCATGACCAAGAACTGTGTGACTAAATGGCATGAATATTCCAATGAGCTGGTCAATAAGTACACATGTATCACAAGAGTCATTTATCAAGAGAAACAAGAGAAAGGACCTGTATAATATGCATCTTTAATACCAACTTCAATGCTAACATGTATACAAAACGTATCCACACGCTTTGCGTACAACACAATGAACATCAGATATTCAAGCTTTCCCATTTTTTAAATTTATAACTGTTGTGTACTATGCCGCGGCTGTTCAAGGATTGGAATACATGGTTTTTATGTATCCTCATTAACCCAAGCGAAAGCATAAGTAAAGGACAAACACAAATATGGGGTTCGAAATTTGGCTGGTGACGGCTGCTTTTATTGATAGGTCTCTCTAGTAAAAGAATAGTGTAAAGTTATTATATAGCATTAGATAATGTTGGGTATATTAAAAGAACGTAATGTTATAACATAAATAATAAATATCTAAACAAATAGTGCACATATTTTCATTCGTGGGATTGCAAAGAAACATGATTTAATCGGCACCTTGGAATATGTTTTCCACTTCCTCTTCTGTTGGTTTTGGCTTATTCCTTAGTAACGTGTACATTGACATCACCATTCCTGGAGTGCAGAAACCACACTGTGTGCCGTGGGACTTGGCTATTATCTCCTATGGCAAATGATATCGTCATTAAAATAATGTGCATTCAGTTCAGTTTATTTTATTAAAGTCTCACCCATAAAGATAAAAAATAAAAACAATAAGAGTTAAAACAGTCATTACAACAAGGCAGTTCTATAGAGAACTATGAGAGAGTAAAAACTAATTACAGTTTAAATACATAAAATCTCTTCTTAATCCTAAGAAAAGGCTACAGGCTTTGGCAGTGCTAAAAATCATTTTCGGATCGTCAATCAGGAAAAGAAATTTGCTTTGTTCATTCAATAAATCAAAATCCGGCTTAAAGCATTTAGCAGTTCTCATTAAATCAGTACGATGATCATAAAAAAATGGACAATTTTAATTAAAATTAAGAAATGAATCTCATCCTCAACACAACCTGATTCACAGAGTACACACGTTCTCTCCAGGATTGGAAGTTTTTCATACCGTCCAGTTTCTATTCTGAGTGGGGCCACCCCACATCTCAGTTTAGCCAATGCCCGCCGATCCTTGAGCGATAAAGTTGGTTTCTTAACGTATTCACTAACTACCAAGTCTTGCTTAAACAATCTGAATAGCCTAAGCTTATTTCCACCTCCATTTCTGCGTGGGGTATCATCCCATAGTTTCGCCAACCAATCGGAGTGACATTCAAAAGCTACACTCTCCGTAAAACAATTCAGTGTGCTAGTCTTGGGTATATCATTGTCAGTTAAGTACAGATGGCTTACTCCCAGATCACTAAATTTACCTTTAACCCTAGCTATCCAATTTTTCCTTCCATTGTTTGATACACGTAAACTCCATAAAAACATCTTTTTAGTTAACCTATTACAACCCATATTAACTAATCTTTGTCACATTAATTAACTGCTTTTCAAAAGGCGAAGTCCATCCCATTTCAGAACGGGTGGCAGCGGCTGGCGCGTACCTACCCACGCCCAAAAAAATACCTGCAAGCTCTATTGAAAACAGCATTAATCTGAATAAATTCCTGTAGTCCCCATATAGCAGAAGCATATTCTAACACAGGAGCTACAAGTGCATCGTATAATTTCGTAAAGCATGCATAGGACATGCCCCCACAAACCTTGCATTTTGCAATCAGAAGACCTAGAGCTCTGCTTGCAGACTTAGCTGTACATGATACCGTCTTATTCGCATCAAAGTGCTCAATATACCACATACCCAAGAATTTATATTTTTCAACAATATTTACTATAAAATTGCCACATTTAAAAACATAATTTGTCCTAGGTATTTTAGGTGACCTAAAATGAACTATCTGGGTCTTGTCCTCATTCAGAGTCAACTGCCATTTATAATTAATATTTTTCAACAATATTTACTATAAAATTGCCACATTTAAAAACATAATTTGTCCTAGGTATTTAAGATGGCCTAAAATGAACCATCTGGGTTTTGTCCTCATTCAGAGTCAATTGCCATTTATAACACCACTTGTGCACTACATTAAGCATTGACTGTATATCCTCCTCATTTTTGGCCAAAAGCACAACGTCATCTGCATAAAGGAGCGAACAAATCAGCTCATCATTTACATTAATGCCCTTACCCAGAGCTTTAAGATCATGTACCATATCATTAATATAAATGTCAAAGAGTAAAGGTGACAGCAAGCACCTCTGTTTTACTCCAGTTTCAATGTCAAAGAAACCTGTTTTATAGTTATTTACCCTAACATAGCACTTTGGGTTATCATATAGAACTTGGAGGGAATTTATAAAATTTCCGCATATTCCTAGTTTAAATGATTTATACCATAAAAGAGACCTATTAATTCTGTCGAATGCTTTTCTTGCATCGATGTAACAAGCATATGCTCTGCTTTTGCTTTAAACTATTTTCTATAATACTAGACATTACATACATGTGATCTAAACACCCACGGTCTTGTCTAAAACCATTTTGCTCGTCAACTATTATTTCATTATCTTCGGCCCACTTCGATAATCTCCTGTTCAGAATAAATGTGTATATCTTATATAATGATAATGTTATTCCTCTATATTCTAGTGGATCGCATAAATTAACACCATTACCTTTAGGTATGGGATTAATGACGCACCTAAGCCAATCTTAAATCTTAAGGACAACAGAATTAGCAAAACAGTACTTAAATAGGTTATACAAACATTTAATAGTTGTATTGTAGCTTTCCAGAAATACATACAGCTTTACCCCGCACTGTGCTTCAAGTAAGGCAACTATCTGCAACGATGTTTTATTAAAGATCGCAGGTATAATTCCAAGATTTATTACTTGCTTATCGCATGTAACTGTTTACAGTTGCCATATGATATTTCAAAAAGCATTATATACAACTTCAATTTGACCATACCGGTACGGTTGTTTTTGAATGAAAGATGTATCAGAGATGATTTTTTTATTATTATTCATAGTACATGTATGTCTTCTACCTTTTCACACTATACCTGAACTGGGTGTAGCCTCGTTTTCGTACTACCAATCCCCTCCACTGTAGTGACAGCGAGGCCATGGAGAGAGCATATTGGAACAAGACACGCATTGGATGCATAATGACAAGTCAACAGTTAGGGAAAATAAATCTGTATAAAATCAACTTATCATAAAGGTTTCAAAGGAAAGACCCATGGAAAATTCAAATAACAGTAACGTGTAAGGATACAATATTTTGTCCCGCTCCTGGTCGTACTTTGATATCATCACTGTGCATGCACCGCATCCTCCTTCTCCACAGCCAAGTTTGGTGCCAGGAAGACGCACTGCGACGTGGAGTTAAGGATACATAAATATTTGTACCAAGGAAAAGGGAGATACGAGAAAGGGCACATTCCCACAGACACGATCGGTCCACGTAGACCGATTCAACTCTGGGGGGCCTCTCTCTGAGTTGTAGTGTTCACAAATATAATTCCCAGACATGTAAATTAATTTGATTAGAGCCGATTGCTTGTGCACTCGACTCGTTTTATGGCCTTACCTGTAGTTATGTAACTTCAGTGGACGTGTGCAATTTGAATAATAAAAATTAGTATGTACCGCCAAATAATGCAGCACAGAATCCACCTTGTGATAAGAAATATGTATAAAAGATGTCTAGAATTAAGATCGGCGGCTCAGACTGAAGTAGACTCGAAGGAAACCGCTCGACGGAGCCATGGGAGGCGTGTACAGACTGGTAATTTATTCAACCTGAGTCGCGGGCTTGAGCGCGCGACTCGTAATACGTGTTTATAGCTCTTATAATCTCTTTTCATATCTCATCTCCTTTAAAGTTTATAGCTCTTATCTAAAATAAATCTCTTTTTCATATCTCAACTCCTTTAATTATAAAGTTTCAATAAAGATATTCAATAAAGTCTGTCACGCAAATTTAGGTATAAAAATCAGGCTGCGACCTGGAAATAAATGAGTTTTGATTTTTATAACAAAACAGTGGTGTTGCGTTACTCTTCTCTCCGGGCATAACCCAAGTCGGGAATCGCGTACCGAACCTAGAATCTTTCAACGGTGGATTAGAGCCCCTAGCGTCTAGATTATACCCGCGGTATATCTAAGAACGTAGTACAAATTTGGCGAGCTCGCCAAATATGTTATGTACCTTTACATATACATATGAGATGAATGTCCTAAACTTATATAATTTTGTACGCTTAATTCAAGCGTGGGCTCGAAATAGGACATAACGTTTTCGTCTTACTTGGCGGATAACGCAATCCAAAGATTCCACAGTTCGTGTCAGATTTACGTAAAGTCGCGCAAAGAAAACCCAAGTCCACACAATGACCAGTTTAATGGTTTATTGGTCGACTCTGTCTAACTACATCATCTACGTGAAATCTCCAAGCTCTAGGCCGTCTCCCATGGCTCCGTCGAGCGGTCTCCTTCGAGTCTTCTTCAGTCTGAACCGCCGATCTTAATTCTAGACATCTTTTATACATATTTCTTATCACAAGGTGGATTCTGTGCTGCATTATTTGGCGGTACATACTAATTTTAATTATTCAAATTGCACACGTCCACTGAAGTTACATAACTACAGGTAAGGCCATAAAACGAGTTGTGTGCACAAGCAATCGACTCTAATCAAATTTATTTACATGTCTGGGAATTATATTTGTGAACACTACACGCCTGTTAACTGAATGAGATCGTCATGGTTTTGCAAACGACGAAGTGCGATGAGTACAATTTCACGCTATGTTATAACTTTATGCGCTGATGGTTTAGTATGTTGCACGTCCAAAAGGATACGTATTTTACGCAGATACTGCAGCAGTGTCGTCTCCGGGTCGGCATTCTTTTCTATGATCTAAAAGTTATGACGTCAGATGTTCATGTTATTGAACAATTTTTCACACTGGATTTCGCGAAAAGAGGTTTATTTAACGAAATCTTCCTCCTGTAGTTTATCTGTTATCAAGGTAGCTCTCGTATTTAGGAGTGTGAGAAATTAATTATTTGAATTAGGTTATAGATATGTTGCTTCTTTAAGCAATGTTACTGGTACCCTCTACCAGGGCCGTAGTTTTTATTGTGGACATTTTATGCTGACTGAGAGCCAAAATGACTGTCTATTTATCTAGAGACATATCTGTGAATATCTGTGAAAAATCAATCTGTTGCCCTGGTAAAGGGTATGTTACTGATATGTATATAACATAAATGCCTACATCACGTACGCATTGCACCCTTATACAAAAAAAAAAAACGTTCTGTAGAAATTGCCATTCTGTGCAGTAGGGGAGACCGGGGCTAGTTGGACCCCGGGGTAAGTTGCCCCCGCGTCAATTTATGAAAAAGTAACTACGAGGTAAAAAAATTGGCCACTTGCTCTTGTAAAGTGACCGTAGCCTACAATGCCAAGGAAGTGTCGGACGTTAAAAAGTTTTCCTTAAGCGGTGAGTCCAAATAAACGGTTTTTGCACCTAAAAGTAATTTTGTTTAAGAGATTTAAAAATCTATTTTCATAAGCTTTTGATCGAATAAAGTATACGTTTAGGGCATCAAACTAAAGCTAATTGTTTGAAATTTTAATAAAATGTTTTATCGCAGCCCATTCTTGCACTATAAACGGCTGAAATCCTTAAATATAAAAATTGTGCACCTGGGGCTAGTTGCCCCCCCTTGGCTCGGGGCAAGTTGGACCCTCACATAGACTACAATCCTTTGCGATCAACAGAGCTATAGACCATTGTTAAAGCACTGTTATTCTTAATTAAAACAAAACAAGTTTAATTAATAGATATTTTGGTTCTTACAACACATACAACGTAACGTATAGAAACCTCAATATATCTGCCTCATTTGAACTACGTATTCATCAAAAGCTCTCAAAATCAATTTTATAAATTAAAGTATTTTATGACGTTTACATAGGATACTTACTGCATTTAAGTATAGGGGCCAACTTGCCCCGACCCGTTTTTCGTCAAATTGTGAGCCATCTGGCATTATATTTGAAAAATAATGACGTTGCATAGGTAGCTTACTTCATGGTGCTTACTTCAAAGCCACTTTTGTTACTCTAACTCATGCCCAGTTGGCTCTGCAAGGCCAAAAGTGTCTAACTGGGCCAACTAGCCCCGGTCTCCCCGAGTCGTTGCTGAAAATATGAACTTTTAACCAAAACTGAGTTAAATATTGTCAAGAATGCATTCCGTATTTTCTCCAGTGGATACAGTTATGGTCAGTTAAAGAAACAATTCTAAGTTAATCTAAAGAACAGTAATAGATGACAATAAGTACGTGACCGCGTATTAAATTCGAAATACCTTCTTTCCATTAACGAAAAATACTAGCTCATCAGCGTCCATGCTCTTTGTTAACAGTAACCTCACCGCTACCGTATGTTCGGGTGTAGGCTTATGTTTTTTTCAGGTAACAAGGTCATGGAAAGTCTTCACATGGGGGCTGACACACTGCATACAATGTTGGGCAACCGATGTATCTTTTGCTGACGCTTGACGTTTTGACTGCATGTATCACGAGATGGTATAGCAATATATCAAGCCTCGGACACAACCGAACGCACGACTTTCAGGATCGTACGTCCCCTGCGATTTTTGGGTGTTGCGGAGGCCGTGGAGTGCGAAGAGGTAGAGGAAAGTCTGCCTTGCGAGTCGCAAGGGCCACATGAGATGTCCTTTTAAGCAGGGACGCTAATTGCAAGGAGCGATGGCCGTGGAAATTGTCGGCTGTTTCACAATCAGGGTGAACAATTAAATCTGGTTAATGTTACAAGTGTCTGATAAATTAGCAATTTACGATTAGAGATTGCTGATAGACTGATATCAAAGACACTGTCCATAGGAGCAAAATAATAAAAAGAATTATAATAATCGGACTACAATTTACAAAAATATAGCCAATTATGTGTTCAAAAAGTACCTATTTTTAGCTGTTACGATGGGTCATTTGCAATTAAGGTCATAAATATGATGCACTAGCTCTTTATGTCAATGATTTATGGTGAATTTGATATTGGTATATAATTTCCACAACATATGTCTTCTCTTCTAGCAGGTTCTTCCAAAGAAATGATCTGAGAAAAAATTATTTTAACCATTTTGCTGAAACAGGCTTTTGTACACATTTTACTTATTTTTGTTAATGCAATGAAAAACATACTTGATAAGGCCAAATATTACTTTGAAATCACCTATGTGATAATAAGATGAATTTACCATGTTATGACTTAAACTTAATAAAGAAGTTGTGCATATGTAACCATTATTAATAAGTATTTAATAAGTATTTATAATCATGAGCCCCTTGGTGTCTCCTAATTTTTGTAGTGTCCGTACCCCCCTATCTGTTTTATTTAGGAATCACAGCATATTCTGTCTGATTTTATTATTTTATGTATGTCCACACTGACATTTATTTTTCAGGAAGAAAATAGCACATTACCCCTTATTATGAAAAGATGTGCAAGAATTTGGTGCCAAATGTAGTGTCCGTACCCCTACTGTAGAGTCCGTACCCCTAAGCTATACATTAACCACTGGATAACTGGCTACTTATCAATGATGATAAAACTTCAAAATATGGTACAAAATATTGTTCTAGATTGTATAAAATGCATTCACATCCTACGATGTTTAGAAAAACATTGTATATAAATGTATATTCGATAAAGTGATACTAATTAATAACAGTCAGGCAAGACATTTTGCACTAAAATAATATCAGTAAAGATGCTACTCTTTGCATTCAAAATGAACAATATTGCTTCCAAAATATTGCCAAATAGAGCTAATTGCAAAATAATAAATTGTATATGGATTAATATTCTATGGATTAATGTATATGGTATATTTTGAGGGGGTACGGACACTACATTATATTCATAATACTCTCAGTGGATGAAGTATCAGACATAGATGACAATGAACAAAAGCCAAATAGGAAAAGGGAAACCTGAAATTTTTACTGTCAGCAAAAATAATTTGAAAAAAAAAACGTCAAAGAGCTAATAGTCATGCTGAAGCACGTAAGAAATTAAAGATATCGCATGAACGTAACATAGCAGAGAAGCAAAAAACTGAAGAAGAAGGCTGCCCCGCAAGCAAGACTAAAGATGAGAGAAGAAATTAGGGCATACTGACAGAGAGTCAAGGAGAAGCAGAAACACAACAATCCTGAAAACAGCAGAGCAAGAGGTGCAAATTAACGAGAGATGAAAAAGAAGAAAAGACTCGAAAAATAAGCATCAAGACTGAAACAAAAATCAATCAATCAATAAATAAATAAATGAAAAAAACCAAGCAACAGAAAAAAGTTTAAATTAAAGTCTGGTGAATGAAAGTAAAACTGAATGACACACAACCAAGCGCCAGCATCCACTGAAAAACGTGCTGTGGTGTTTCTCCAAAAGCATTTTGATTAATACATGTACTTGTATCCTTTTGGTTAAAGTATTGTTGTTAAACTTTATTTTGATATTTTTAGAAAGTTGGCAAAAATAACTGGTAAACAATATGATATTTCAGTTACAAAAGCATCAGTTGCTTGAATGTGTAGTGTCCGTACCACCAAATCATAGCCTAAGAGGCTGTATGTTAATTTAAACGTAACACATCGTAACGTAACACAAAAAATAATTAATATTGTTTTTATCTGTTACAAAATTAAACAAATGCATCAGAGTTCATTTTTCTCTCAATGTGACCCCTATTTTGTACCCCTGATTGTGAAACAGCCGTGTACTCATTTCTTGAGTTTGTCTTGCGTCCTGTGTACGTGGCACACACTCACCACTTACGAAGGGAATGCAACGCACGGCGAAAGTAGTGCCCTTTTCCGTCAGTTTTGCTTCGCACTTGCCTCACACGTTTGTGGTGACGTACTGACGGCGTACGTCAATTTTGTTTCCTGTTCTCCTTTTCTTTCTTCTTCCTCCTCCCTTTTTTTCTACTATGTAAGCTTCTTTCTCTTACCTTTTGGAGGCATATTAGAAAATAAATCGAGCAATAATATCAAGGTTCATTGTAGAGACAAGAGCGTGCGTCGTGAGCACGCCTTTTATACACTAGGCGTGAGGGTGACGCACGTGCGACGCATTCCCGGTGTGCTCTCGACTTTGTTCGTTAGTTGTGAGGGCGTTCGCCTTACTCAACACGCAAAGGGTACTTGCTCTTTCATTGCTTGCGACATGCGTCTTGCACAACACGCATCTCACTTGCTAAAGCTACTCTTACAACCGGTCGTGCGTGCTCTACGAGTGGTTTGCGTGCAAAAAATTGGCCAAGTAGTAAGATACACGCACATGGAACGTACTTTCTTTGGTGGGCGTAAACACGACGCAAAGCACGCAGCCCGAAAACTGGCCGGCCAGTTTTTCGCTACGACCTAGCTGTCTGCGACAATAAGAACACCTGGAGCACGCTCGTAGCAAGCAAGACAAAAGTACTGAGTAAGTGCGCTAGGCGTGCGTGTAACGCATGAAAGGCATGCAGAAATTCCGGTTTTTTTTACCATCGTACGTTCAACTTGCTTTCAATGTACGTGTTAACAAAAAGGGCGGTGAGCGCACTTCCTCCGTGCGTTTATCTTACTTCCAAAGTGCCTGGTGAGTAGACCTACTACTTGACCAGCACGATAAAAGTGCGTCACAAGTACTTGCTTAGGTGCATCGTGCGCCTATATCAAAGCTGATACGAACAGTCTGCTCTCAGTTTGGAAGTGCCATTTTGAAAGCCAAAACAATGAATGATCAAGAGACTCGGTGCTCCCTTTTGTACTATTTTGATTATCCGTGTGTTCCACCAATTTGACGCACGAGTGTCGTGCTTAACACTTCCGTGCTCATTGCGTTTCTCTTACGTTTCTCTAACTTCGTAAGTACGATTTCTGAAAACATGCGCTTCACTTGCAAAACACGTACGATTATCTCACTCACTGTGTGCGCCACAAGTACAGATCGTACGTGCTCCTTACTTCTTCCTACTTCCAAAAAAGGCGTACAGACCTCTTGCGGGCCCCACGTTTAGGGCACGACACACCTAATTATAAAGTACTTACTACTTACGTCCGCTGCGATGTAATTTTCATCCTGCGACAACGCTACGCCTGACCAGAACTCCGAGGACGCACGATCTCTAAGCACGCACGACGGGTTGTAAGAGAGGCTTAACTCCGTGCGAGGGGAGCAACTTACGCTTGCGGCCTCGCTGTTCGCAGGCTATTCGTAGAATCTTTTGGACATGTCCAACATCCTCCGTACTTGCTTACGTCTGCGAACTCGAAATTTCGTAAGAAGGACTTGCGTTGGACGTGAGATTCTGCGCAAAATTTGGACGCAAACAGTCCGTAAAAGCCCGTACAGCCGGTTGAGACTGAGGCTTCACATGATATACATACCGATAGAGAATATTCGTTTACCCGTGAACCCCCTATAAAGTGATAGATACAATACGAGACGCCGAGCTGTACGTGAAATATTACGAGTGTACTGGCGAGCCGCAGGCGAGACAGCACTCCAGCAATTTTCACGTACAGCTCGGCGACGAGTGTTGTATCTGGCTTAAACCACGGCCTCTGATTGGCTACTACACTGGTAGTATACTAGTTAAGAATACTTATGCCACGCTCTAGAGATGTTCTATGAAGTCTATTACACGTTCACTAATCACCTCTCGCCAATTACTTAGGTAATACCTGGCAAATTTTGTCAGCGGTTTGCTAAACACTTGTTAAGAAAGGTCAGCTTCATTAAACGATAACCGTTCAACCTTTGACACTGACCTATTTGCAAGTCCAACACGGTTGTGACCCACCTCTTAGCTGATACCGCTGGTACCATTTCTTGTGAGAAATTTGAGCAATAATATTATTTATAGGTCGGTAAATCCACCATTTTTGAGAAGGCAACCAAAGAGTGTGTAACTACATACAGTACATGCACATACTGGTACTTATATTGAAAAGCGTTGGATGAAAATCAATTGTTCTTCTGATTAACAAGGGTTTTCTATGACAGAAATTGATGCTAAAAGCATATATGACAACTATTTTTTGTAACAATTATCATTTAGGTTGGTAGCTTGACGATTTTCAATTGGCAGACCAAATTTAAAGGCCCTGGTAAGAGTCTCATCATCGACAATGAAAGGCGCCATAGTTTGTAATATGGGTTTTGCACAGCCGCAATTCCTGGTTGCAAAATGCGTTGCAGGTGCGAAATGCGACTCTACAGTTCAACCTGAGCCGCGTTTGTTGAGAGAACATCTCCATATTTGTTGTCACGTATTGTAATTTTTACTGTTCGTTTCAAAACTTCGTAGAGTTAGCTTCACATCTTTGTCTAATTTTTGAAAAATGCCAACTGCATAACACAGAACATAATATGGCAAAGTATTGTTTCACGGAATATCAAGTTGAGGTCATGCAGTATAAAACGTTATTTAAACTTAATTTTATTCAAGACGGGGAAAAAACGAACATTCTTGAAAAGATTTAGAACC